CGAGAGTCTTGTAAAACTGCACATCCGGGAAAAGACGCAATCAGAGACGTCAAAGCCCATGTATAATACCAAGGACTCATTATCCCGTGAGCGCCAAAAAGCAAAGGGAGAGGAGGAAAGTGGTGCAGTGCAAACGTGTGTGTAGTATATATATGGCAATTGAAAACAGACGGACGAAGCTTTCTCTCTTTTTTTCGAGTCAGCGGCAAACAGCTGCAAGTTTTTCGTCGATACGAGCGTAGCTTGCCAATTAAGCGCCAGGGCTTTCGTATCGCGGGTAAATCGAACAAATTAGCTAGTGGTGTGGTGGTCAGCTTTATACGGAGAGTATTGTAAGTACGACCGGCACGTTGACCTGCATTGCGTACGCACATACGGACTGTTTTTTTTTTTTTATTCATATCGAAGAATATATATGTAGGCGCACTTACAGTTACCAATAGCCTTTATGGCCGTACCTACCGCCGCTTAAGTGCCCATCCATACGGTAAATTTATAGATTTTCGCGAAATCATCATCATGAACCCTATTTGTGATATTTTATTATGGATTCAACGAGATCGATGGTAATATAATTCACGAATTGCCGGCAATACAACGAGGATAAAAATATTGTTCCATGTGGTGAATGGAAAAGAAAAGGAATAAAAAAAAAAAAAAAAAAAAAAAAANCCAGAGCTCCATATCGTCCAAACGAAGTTGAGCCAGATTCTGTTGGTGTTGGATGCGAGTATCCAAATAGAACAGTATCTTGTGGCACATACATACAAAGCGCACGTCTGACTAGTATATTTTCTCCAAGAGTACCAATGGCCAGAGCAGAATGGTCTGCCACAGATTTCCCATCAAGAGCTTGCAATGCTTTCAGTGCATCTGCATCCAAAACTGTTCTATTGTACATGCCATTTGAGTCTGTGGCGATTGTGTGTTTTAAAACAGCTGATGCAACAGTATCAGTCAGCTGATGAAATTCCTTATTTCGAGCAACAAAGTCTGTTTCGCAGTTTATCTCAACTAGTGCACCATGGAATTGGTTGAAAATAACACCAACAAGACCCTGAGAGGTTGATCTGCCCTGCAGCTTTTCAGCTTTTGACCAGCCTAATGCTTGTGCCTGTTCCTTCAGCCATGACTCTGCCTGGGAATACAAAATTTAAGCATTTTATGTAACCACTCGAGACAATGCTGTGTAACGATGGAGAAAATGAATAACCTTTGCCAAATCGTTGTCATGCAGCTCGAGTGCTTTTTTACAGTTGATAAAGGGATATCCAGTTTTCTTGCGAAGCTCAGCCAACAAGGACTTTTTGGTGTTTGACTGCCAGAGAACGTGGTTTGTACTGATGTAACGAGCACAGCGACTAGCAAGCATCTGTAATAAAATGATCAGAGAATGTCAATACAACAAACAACTGTGAAATAAATAACAAGAAACAAACAACAATTGAAGCTAGTCAGTGATGTTTGTTACGTAGAGCCAACAGCTGATAAGCTGCAATTAACTTGCAAGTGACTGATAGCAAAGGCTGACATAGGAGGGTTAAGCGACCTAACCTAAAGGAAAGCGGCTGTCGAGGGCGAATTTATAATTGAGCTATCAAAAAAGTTTGGCTGACATTTCGCGTGTGAATCACTAAAGTGCAGAAGAAGAGGAAGGGAAGGGAGAGACGCGAAAAGGAAATCGCGGTGAGCATTGCGGCGGGGATTCCACGACGCTCTCGCGAATCGATGGCTCGGGTTGCTTGGAAACAATCCACTTTTCGGCGACCGCATTCGTGTCTCGCTTTCAGGTGGATATGTTTAGGTATATACACTATCACATTATGATGATGGCTATGGGTATGCTCACGTTTACGTGCACTGGAGCCTCTTCAATTGATTTCCTCCTTTTTCAAACAGCCCACCGTAGACGCATTTGTGTGATTGTATCCGGCAATTGAGCACCAGTTCCCTACGAGTATACGCAACAGCACTGTGTCGTCAACCAATATCACATAAAAGTACACTTGCAATTGAAAGGTGTTTTTTTTTTTTTTTTTTTTCGAATCGGTCCGACTTGGTTCCCGGCAGTTTTATTCTCACGGGAAGTAGTCCCGAGGTGTACGTGTGTCTGATGTACAGTTTCATTGTGTGTGTGACCACATAACGCTTCTCACATAATATATACGAGCACAAACCGATTTGCAACGAATCCTTGTTGCAAGCTCCATTGGGCTTTTCTCATTTATCGGTGTTTATATCTGTTATTGTGCGTATAATTACGCAAAATCTCAAGTGGCTCATGGGCACACCCCATTCGCGAGGTAGAAACAATTTACGCCAAATCGCGTCATTTTATACCCATGTTCTATTTGTTGTTCACCTACGTGAGCGCGAGTGTAGTTTTGCGCAAAGGCCGAGCGCGAAACTAATTTGGTTTTGCGTTTCTTCGACCGTATAGGAGTTGAGCTGCTGTACGTGACTGTGTGTTTTCCGCGTTGTGTGTATATGCACATAGAGCGCGAAAGAGCTTTCAACCGTCGCGCGGTCCGACGAAAGTTTGCCTTCTCCATCTCTCTCAACGTGACTCTTTAAACTGAAAAAAAAAGTGATCGACAAGCCAGGCACGGGAAGGAAAAAGCAGCCACATGGTGCAACAACTCGGCACGTGTGTGTTGAAAAACTCGGTACACACATATATACCCACACGCGAAACGAATGTAAATATATATATATATGTACCTATATACACACGGCGTAACTCTGGGCAAAACCAAATAACGTCGCTCCTCGAGCAAGTATAGGTAACTTTATTATTACGGGCCGCGGTGACTTTACGGTTCGCGGATAGGTATATTATACGTGTGGAGGGTCTCTAAAGTGCGTTCCGCTGTCGCGCCCGTGCAAACACTCGTCGCCAACTACTACACCAAACTGAAATATTTTAACTCGCGCACATCACTTCAAGTCAAGGCCGAAGCCTTTTTTTGCTAGAGTGTATAAGCGAAAAAAAAAAAAAAAAAAAAAAAAAAAACGCTATATGTACGTAACCTCCGATTTCGCGAAGGGAAGGACGAGTTGCCCGGGCGCGCGATAAGAATCTTCATCCTCTCCGGGAGGGGGGGGGGAAAGCGTCGGGAAACCCCGTTCCGCCGGGCTTTTATCTATACACACACAACTTTCACGGGAGCGAGCTTTCGTCACGCGCTTCGCCTCGTAATTGTCGTCCCGAAGGCGCGGACGTAATTGCTCCCATCTCCCTTCCCTCGAGCTCTCTCGCGACGTAAGATATCCCCATATAACACATACAGCGAGGGAACAATCGGCAGCACTTCTGCGCGATTGCATCTCCGATAAATATATATATATGTACACGGTGTATCATACACGTATAGGTATCCTTTGCGCGCGTGTTGCTGCTGTTGCTCACATTTCTCTCCCACGACGCGCCAACGGAGTACAAGGCTTTTATCGGCGCTCGCGATCGGTTATTCGCGTACAGGGCAATAATACGTCCACATGTAGGCTAATGCCGAGAAAGCATGACGGACAGAGAGATAAAGATTTGCGATAAAAGGGGCACCTCGTCACCCGCAAACACTCAATCTCGCAAGCTCGCTCCGTTACGATATTATGTGGGAGTGTGGAAAAATGCACTCGTGTATATTATTACGTGGTACGGTACGGACAAAAAAATAAATAAACAAATAAATAAATGGACTGTTTTCTTTCGCCACAAAGCGCTGAGCTGTCCATCATGCGCGGCATTAGGGTAAAGTGAGCTCGTTCTCTTTACTTGTACAACGGCTTTCGATTTGCCAACATCGGCAACTCATTTGCTTCCAGTCATCGTTTTTTTTTTCCCCTTTTACTTGTAAGTAAAGAACAACATCGTCATCGGACAGTGCACTGCACGCGTTCAAATTGAATCCACATATTTAGGTACAGCTACGTGAATATATATATTTTTGTACCGTACACTATAGTGAACGATAAATACTTAATCGTATGGATTTACGCATACGGGCCAAGAACAAAGAAATCAAACGGGAACATCGAGATCCGATCGGCCATCGATCTTCCCGTGCGTGTTGCAAGTTATGTACCATTATAACTGTATACAGCTGCTCTCTGTCCTACAAAAATATGGTCCGTTGAGTAACTGCGGGTTACAACGTAAACGGCAGATCATCTCCAAAAGATGGCCAGGATGACGAGCCTGCCGTGGCAAAGCGCGAAATGGGCACTACCGCACGGCCGTTCGCTTTTACGCAAAGTTGCAGGCATCGTAGCGAAAAAAAAAAAAAAAAAAAAAAAAAAACAAGAGGAGCAGCTGTGTGTGTGTATATGTATATAGGCGCGAGAGCCAAGTGAAGAGGAAGTGCTCATTTGCGCCAAAGACCAAGCGCGTATCTCTGATTTCTCTTCTCTTGTTTCTCCCGTCTCTTTGGCTCCCCTCGCATCTGGCGATTTGGATTTAGCTTTCACTCGATCGCGGAGGAGAAAGAATCGTGGTACATCTGGATTAGCGGGAGAGAAAAAAAAAGCATTTTCGATTTCAAAATTTTTCTACCCGAGTGGGGGCACACACACGTAATCATTTGTGATCCAAATCAAGTTTTGATCTCTATCGTGCCGCGCGTGTCTGCGTACATATACGAAACGCAACTTTTCAAGGTTATACAGCGCGAACACCGAGTTTGAGACAAAAATTACTGTAGAGTTAATCTTAATACAATATTATTAAGAAAAGTACAAACAAAAAAAACCTGGACTACGTTTATTTTAGGTTTCAAATTTACACTATTTTGCTCACACGAAAATTACTGAACAGTAAAAAAAATGTGTTAAAAATCATATTAATTGAATTGAATCGGCAAGATGTATATGACAAATTAATATTCTATCTACTTGTATGATGTTATTTTGAAATCAGCCCCTACATAAAGTATAAGTAACATTTACAAAACAAAAACAAAAAAAAGTTGAAATAATATGTAACGCATGATTGTAATTTTCAGGGCTTCCTGGAAGCAAATTCGCGATGCTGGTGGAACGTCGCCTTGGTCGACGCTACTCGACAGCTAAGGTACAAGGGCCACGTGGCCCCAGGAGTGCTGATGGTCGGCGGACCGCCCTGTGCCCTTGAAGTTTTAAGAGCAGCTTGGGCGAGAAACGTCCTACGACCTCCTGCGGATCACATCATCAGTTGTCTCGGTAAGTACGCATTTTTGTTTTTTTTTGTTTTTTTGCGCGTCCCTATACCCCGCAAGGGAAAACAAGCCGTTTATATTACAACTCGGCCACGCCTGAACCAAACATACCCCAGCCAAAAAAAAGAAAGAGGGAAAAAAGGGCATCGGACCGCACCAAAAGAACCACCTATCTCGATTGTACCCACCACACACGCGTGCAGGAAGCGGACGCAGTACCGATTTTATATACGCCCATACGGAGCTTTTACCGCATAAAGTATACACGTTATGTATACAGTGGGCTCGCGTGCGCCGCGATTTACGCCACACACGCTTATACGGTACTCATATACATATTATATACCTTTTGAATGGGGGAGCGCATCCCCCACACATCTTGGGCTGCAACACCATATCACCTCCTTCTGTTTCCCTCTATGCTAACATAATACGTATACTGCCCACTGCGGTGGAATGCGCAATGGGTATATTGGCCGGTGCAGGCTCTTATTACCCTAACTGGTTCCTGGAACATCTCGTACTACCATGTGCGCCCTACAACCGGTACGCGCTCGCTTTTTCCCCATATACATATAAGTATTCCTGCACGGGGATGGTTTGCATGTACTTATACAGAGTATTACAGATGGTGGGCCTTACGTAAGCGGGTTTTTACCGCATCGCGCGCATACATGTATACATCTGTTTTCGAAACAACAACCGCGTGCGAATGTATATGTATGGATGAAAAAAAAAAGGCTGCTCTCTGTTGTTCATAGAAAGAGACCCCCCGCGTATATATGTATATACAGAAGAGAAACCGGCTATTTGAGCTTGCGCAGTACACCCATAGGCGGTGGTCAGCGTGTAATGAGCTGGACGGTATTAGAGGGTATGTATATATATATTATATACATCATAGAGGCAAAAGCGTTATGACTTTGACCTGCTTTTCTTCCTCTTTCTCTGTGTGTTTCTCATTTAGCCGTGCGCATTATTCGATGATTCACCGTATATATATCCCATACGTACGGGAGGTGCTCTCGCTGGGAGGCTGTTTCGCTCTCCGTCGGATAATTGACTTTTTCTCCATACATACCGCGTGTGTGTAAGTATATAATACGTGGTCCTCGAGGGTGGAGGGGGCAACGATCATCGTTTGATTTTCGAAAGTTGAGCTGGAGGGCGAAAAACAAAAAAAATCATCCATTTGAGTGTATAGCTTTGAGACACGAGGCATGTATACGTGTCGAGGGGGTTTTGCAAACCGAAATGGGTTCTGTCACATCGGGATAATAGAGGAACGATCCAAAGTCGAGCTGCCGCGAAGTATACTTTGGGGTCCACCTTTGCAAAACCAAACTATTTTGTTTGGAAACAACGAAACCCCCATCTCTTACGTCAACGCCATGTAAGACCCACGTGCAGTGTTATACAATCGCGTGAACTGTACGTATGATATATACATGTGCCTCGTCACCTCTTTATTAATCGTCCCACAAGAGTGTACACATCATGTTTAAACGCGAGCACGAAAAAAACCTCTTCCGCTTGACCACAACGAAAAAAAACATCAGCTCAAGTGTTATTATTCTTTTCACCTTCTCCCTCTTGAGTAAAAAAAAAAAAAAAAACGGGTTTACAAACGCAGGCTCCAGTAATCTCCTTGTCGTCGTATCTATATAAATACCCCAATGGGCTTTCATTTATGTCTCTCTCCCGGTGACTTGTTAAAAACTATACCGCAGTCATATTCAATGGCTACCTTTGTGGATTGTTATTAGCCTTTGTATGACTAAATGTTTCCTTTATACGTTTGATATGGTAACTCACTCGGGGAAGTACAAAAATAATGACGATTGCCCACAGTTACCCTTTTGTATACTTGCACACACATAAAGGTGGATACAATGTAACGGGGAGCAGTATAGGTAATATGGTGCCCCACAGGACGAGTCTTTCGAAATCTCGGTTCACGCGTATCCAATTATATGTATGTGTGTGCGCGCATCTTACGTGAGCAGACTAGCAGAGAAGGCAAGGTCGGATACACATCGCTTCCTTCCCATTGTCGGGCATGTGCAGCATTAGGTAACCCAGATACAATTATTTTTAGCGCGCGCTCCCCCGTTGTTTTTCCTCTTTGCGTCACTTTATAAAATGTATGTGTTACCTTCTTTTTTTTTTTTTTTTCTTTCTCTTGTATCGCCAGCGAAAAGATGCAGAGTTGCATAAGAACCCTATACAAATATATGCCCACCGTTTTGTGAGTAAATAAACCTTTTTTTTTTTTTTTTTTTTTTTTTTTTTTAACGCGTGCAGCTAATGTCTATGAGCCTTTGTAATAAATTATTATATTTCGCATAAATCACTGAAAGAGCCTATTCAGCTATTGTTCGTAGCTCGAGCGTATGGAGTGCAAATGGATAAATTAATGGAACCAGTTACGTGTACACAATATACAAACGGTGCAAAAGTTACCGTCGAGAATACGTATATGAATGCATTTGCACACGCAACATGCGTTTTTTTTTTTTTTTTTTTTTTCTCGTATTAACCTTTGTAAAACGAGCACATGAAAAAAACAAACAAAAAAAAAAAAAGCTTAGTATCTACATCTGCGGATGGAATTAATGGTTCCGCGAATCGATAAATATTAATGAATTTTCGTGCTCGCGCACAATACATATCTATGGTGCCAAAGTTGGGCAAACACGATACACTCCCGTGTACGTATTTAAGCGTGCAAACTGGTCAAATCCAAAGGGCAAAGAGAAAAAAAGTGAACTTTTCATCCTCGTCGACAGTCAAAAAAGATTTTAGGAAATATTGTGGTGTGGGTGTGTTATCGATAAAAGCAAACTACACGCGAGTAATCATACACACCCGAGCAAATTTACGAGGGATAATTAGTTATCGAGAGAGAGAAATCAGTGATTGCCGGGCGTGTAAGTGGTCGACGCAATAAACTCGTGCTCCCCGTGGCTCAACCTCCCCGCGTGTATACCCATAATGTAACACAATAGATACGTTCATTCGCAATCGCCAAAGTCAGTAAATATTATCAATCTGATGTGTACGTGGTATACTTGTAAGTGTATTCGCGAGAGCTCCAGTTTGTCATTCGCGGGTCTATCGTACGGGCAACGCCTTAGCTCGGATTATCATTGACAGGCCACGGGCGGCCGGCCGTCAGCGAAGTATAATACTTGCACGGGTTTTGGTATGGCGAATGTTATATTGTACATAATATTATATACCCATTGCGGATAAGAAAACCAAACGGCGCTGTAAATCAAGCGACTGTCCGGAGTACCCGGGGGCAAAGGGGGTCGAGATTAATTAAGCCAGCCCAGGATATTCCGTAACCATGATGAATCACATGCTCGATAAAACCAGAGATCATCTGTCCTCTTTGTCATCTCATTGGACGAGATGATGTATACGGTGTAAAAAGTACATCGCGATATTTCGCGTGTATATCCGGCTGTGATGTACGCCACGGAAGCAGTCGAGCCAACGCGCCACATGCATTATAGAGATATTCCTCCAAAGTGTCATTCGGTCGGTGTGTGTGTGCCATACGTCATTTACCACGCGACAAGCAGAAATAGTTGGAAGACGAATAGAGAGCTTAAATTGCAAAAACAAAAAAAAAAAACAACGCAATTTCGCTAGTAAAAGGAAGTAAATGGAGCGTAGTCGTGTAGGTATGTGCACGTTATAAATGGGGACCCAGCTGGTACGACTGCAGAAAAGAGGAAAAGAGGTATATAGGATCTTTCGGTAATTGGCCGAAATAGCGCGCGGACGATGTTTCACGAGCAATTACGCCCGGGTGATGGTGTGCAAAAAGAGGGGAGGAGGGCACTACTCTCACTCTTGTACCGTATATACATATACATGCGGCCATATATACAGCGTATTATAAAATACACACATGTATGTATTAAACTGCTGCGACGTTGGCGGTGCGATGAAAGATCCTAAAGTACTTTCGATGATGGCCCGGGGCCAAAGTTCCCCACCTTCTCCCCTGCCACGTTGTATCATTTATACCGTACATGGCACACACGTGTGCATGGCAAAGGTCAGCCTCTCACGCTTTGCTGTGTCTATATATGTATATACAAAGGCTCGTACTTTTTTTTTTCCTTCTCCTCCTCCTTGCAATGCTCCTGCGTTTTCATCATTTGCTCTTCATACATACTCTCTGATAATCCATTTGTCTGCTCGCATTTTGCAACCATTATCCCCCCCCCCCCAGTGACGCAACTTTATTTTGTATAGGTACACGTTATCTCGACTATTCCGATCAGTATATGTATATATATATGTGTGTGTAACCCATTATAAAGAATACGTTGTTGTTGCCTTTAATTTTAAAAGCCTGTACATAGCCAAAGGGTCGTCGCCGGCTTCCTCGGCCTTTTGTTTTTTCCACCGCACACAATAATATACTCATCTCATAAACTATAGCTCCCGGCTCTCTGTAGTGCACGTCTGATCCATATATACATACACGTGCAGCCATTATCATCATTTTTACCATACGATGTAAAGTCGAGCGATGTAATCGCGCAATAAATAGGTATGCCTGAGCAGCAACAATTGCCATTTGTAAAAAAGCTTGGAGGAAATCGACTGCGAACAACATCAAAGAGGTATACAGTATGTAGTACCGACTTAAAAAAAAAAAAAAAAAAAAAAAAAGAGGAATCAATAAAAAAATAGGATGTATATACCTACGTACACACACGTGCGAAATAACGAAGAGCCGCGATGACACGTGAGTGAAAAGTGCCTCGCGCCACCGGCATGGTCGGAAAAACAATCACCGCGACACGTCTGCTCCCATCATCCCCATCAGTTGTCCCTCGTCACACCGTACACGAAGACACGACACCTAAGCGTATAATAGTACAAGAGAAAGAAAAAAAAAAAAAAAAAAAGGCCAACATTGTCCCGGATGGTAGGTATACGTACCTGGGGTAGTCATGCAAATTGCAGAGGGCCACGAGA